GCGGCCGCCAGTTTCTGCTCCGGCTTCTCGGTCACAGCAGTGCGCTCCCGCAGACTCGCGGGAGTGAGGCCGCCAGGTGCAGTTCTCATTCATTTGCCTTCGTGTCGGGAGGCCCGTGTCTCTGGATCTGGCCATCAGACTTTCCAAAAAGGGACCCCTAAAGAATCGGGGACTCCTCCTGGGAATGCCGCGTTCCCACGAAGATTTCACACGGCTCCCACGACTCGTCAGAGGGGTCAGTGCGGGGCGGGGCCGCCGAGGGCGCAAATCCTTGGCCCTCCTGGAAGACAGACTGGTGGGGCTCACTGGATCCCTTTGCCCTCTTCCCGATGTGGCCACGTTGGGTCTCTGATTTCTGCTTTCCACTTTCAATCCTCCCCCGCCCTGAAGAGGCCAGAAGAGGCGTGAGATCCCTGGACACTGGGACTCCAGTCTGGAAGCTGCTGGTTGCTGAGACAGAACTTGGGTCCTCTGGAAGAGTAGCCAGTGCTCTTAGCTGTCCAGCCATCTCTCCAGTCCCTGATTTGGCAGTTTTAATTGGCATATTGAGGAAGGTGGCCAGACCATAAGCTCTCTGGCCTTACCCTAGTACCAGTTCTTGCCTCCCTTCCTTCCACTCTTTAAATAATCCATCGCATGGACCCCCCTCTCTGTCCTCCTATGTTAGTGTTATCCAAGGTCCAGACACCAGGTGCAGTTAACACAAGGTGAAGCCACAGTGTTTGATAAATAACCCTTTTTTAATGATTTGCTTATTTTATATGCTTTGGTGTTTTGCCTGCAAGTTTGTGTGAGGGTGTCAGTTCCCTGGAACTGGAACTGAGCTGCCATGTGGGTGCTGGGAATTGAACTCAGGTCCTCTGGAAGAGCAGTCAGTGCTCTTAACCACTGAACAATATTTTATGCATCAGTGCTCTTAACCACTAAGCCATCTCTCCAGCCGCACTGATACATATTTTATGCAAGGCAGAGATTTAAAAACACCATCTCCAGGCAATGGTGGTATGAACCTTTAATCCCAGCACTCCTGAGGCAGAGGCAGGCAGATGTCTTTGAATTCAAGGACAGACTGGTCTACAGAGTGAGTTCCAGAACAGGCTCCAAAGCTACACAGAGAAACCCTGTCTCAAAAAACAAAACAACACACACACACACACAAACCCCACCACATCCAAGCCAGGTGATGGTGGCACACACCTTTAATCCCAGCACCTGGGAGACTGAGGCAGTCAGATCACTGTGAGTTCAAGGCCAGCCTGGTCTACAGGGTGAGTCCCAGGACAGCCAGAACAACACAGAGAAAACCAAAAACAAGATAACAACAACAACAACAAAAAAAAACCCTGCAAACACTCCACATTCATGGTCCTAACAACCACATGAAAGCTTGCCTCTTCCTTTGCTTCTGTGAAGCCCCCTCTCGGTTACCAGTGCTGTTCCTTCTCCCTGTGGTGACCTCCCTCCTCCCACAAGAGCTTTACCCATGTCTTCAAAGTCTTTTTTTATTCTTCCTTTGAGACCGAGTCTCCACATGTAGCCCAGGGTGACCCTAAACTCAATGTGTGCCACAGTCTACCCAGTGTTGAGACTGTTGGAGTCACTGGGGTGAACTAACACCCTACATCTCGGTCTCCTTTCAGTTGTCACAGAATGTGTTTGATCTCGTGCTGAGGCAAATACCTGAGGAAAACAAAAGGAAGGTTATGTCTAAGCAGCTGGTTTCCTCGGGCGTTGGTGGCGCACGCCTTTAATCCCAGCACTCAGTAGGCAGAGGCAGGAGGATCTCTGTGAGTTTGAGACCAGCCTGGTCTCCAGAGCGAGTGCCAGGATAGGCTCCAAAGCTACACAGAGAAACCCTGTCTCGAAAAACAAACAAACAAACAAACAAAAAAAGCACCTGGTTTCTCCAGTTCCAATCCAGCATCAGTTGGATCCATTGCTTCCGGTCTGAGCCGAAATGGTGTGTCTTAATAGCGAAGTGTATGGTGAGGGCTTACAAGTGTCTTCATCCATTCACAACTGTCTGACTAGCGCTACCAAGAGCTCCTTAGTGGGAGCCATCCACAGTAGCCTCCCCTCACCTCACACCTCCCATGGGTCCCACCTCACAATCTGCTTCTGACTGTGACCCATGAGCTCTGTGCACGCATGGAGAACTGGCAGGAAGCCCCCCTCAAAAAGAAATTGGCTCCCCATTGCTTTTAGAATAAAAACAAACTTCTGTACAGAAAAATCACACCATTCTTGTCACACTAAATCGGTTCTATAGGTGGCACCTACTCATGTCTTTTTTTACTTTTTTGAGGGTGTGGGGGGATGACAGATTTATCTTGTCGCCCAGGCTGGCCTCAATGCACTATGTAGCTGAGGGTGATCTTGAACTCTGATCCTCTTGCCTCCACCACCCAAGTGCTGCAATGGCAGGCATAGGTCGCCACACCCATTTTATGCTGTGCTGGGGATGGAATCCAGGGCTCTGTGCACACCAGGCAAACACTATCAGCTGAGCTAAGATCCCTATCTCCCTTCCCCACCCACTCTCCTCTTACCTCATGAAAATAAAGCAATTTGGAAGCCCGAGTCTTATCAGAGAAGGCAAAGGATAACTGGCCCATAATGCAGGGAGGAACTTCAGAACATGTGCATAACTTTTTTCCCCCTGAGGAGCAGGAAAGTAGACTATTCCACAGTCATCCAGGACCCCATGAGCACACTGCCTCACCATCCCCAGGTCCTGATTGGAAAGTGCCCCTGCCATCCCCTCTCCCTGGCACAGGAAGAAAGGGGAGGTGGCTACCTAGGTACCTTCCACATCTTAACAAAGCTCCCTGGGGTCATGCTAGCTACAAAGAAGTGTCATGTCTGCCAGAGCCACTCAGTTCCTGGAGGGAGAGCAGTTGGTCACCCCATAAGGACCCCTCCTGGTCCTTAGGTTGTCCACTGTCAAGAT